CTTCCAATAAAATTATTTGTAGTAAGAAACTAATAAATCAGAGTACCATGCAATTAACAGAGTATGAAGTAGCCTCAGGAAGGAAAATCCAGAAGGTGATTTTTCTGCCTCATCCATCTCTTGCAATTTGCTGCTTTACTGTTTCTGCACTTCTTCACTTTGGGCCAGCAAAAGTACAAGACAACAGCCTGGCCTGCCCACTCCATCATCCAAACTACCAAGAAAATTATCAGCAGTGAATTGCTGCTTCTCTTTTTGACATTAGTAGTACCAATTTTTTTTGAAAATTGTGTTTGTAGCCCTAGGAAACAGAAATGTTAAGCTGGAATTCATTCCTTTAAATCCTCAGCTGAATAGATGTCTGTGGAGGCAGCCTCCAGTACAATAATTTGTGTGGAAAACCCCTCAATACTCTACTTAAAAAATAATGAATGGTGTAAGTTTGAGAACAAGAGTGAAAAATATCATAGCATGCAGCAATGACACCTATTTCTGCAGCAGGATTAGTTTGATAATATTATATTACAACCTAAATTAAACTTCAGGAAGGCTGTGCTATCATTTTAAAAAGAAAACTACAGCATGGACTGCTGATAAAACTGTTGAGGAATACATTTAGTGCAGCCAGCTTGGAGTGCAGCTGCAGTGTGAGCTGCAGGTTGAGCTCTGGGTACTGGGAGCCCAAGGCAAGAGGCAGTGAAGTGGCACCAACTCTTTGCAGCAGTGGTGCAGGTGACACCCAGAGATGAAACAGGAGCTCAGGAGGAAGAGAGAGGGAAGGTAAATTAGTACATGAAATGGAGCAAGGTGTAAGAAAGGACTAACAAAGGGGCTGCTACGTAAAAGCCCTGTGAAGGCCAAAAGCCTGCAGAAAACGCCTTAGCTCTGGTTTCAGAGATTTAAATGACATAAAAAAGGCAGATCTTCCAAGCCTCTTATGGTGAGAACAAGCCTTGATTGCTTCTAGAAAACCCAGGACAGCAAAGGTTATAGCAGGAGGAGGACAATGGCAGTAAAGGGGAAAGCAGAGCAGATCACAGCACTCTTCATGCAAGATCCACTCCTGGATAACAACTCTGTCCTGACCTGGCTGCTTTGCTTTGATCCACACTTTGCTGCTCCTTAGTAGGCTGAGCCTCCCATTCAGTCCCAGTGCCTGTGGTGAGGCTAATTCCTTGCAGCAAAGCTACTCAAGAAAAAGCAATGCCCAAGGAATAAAAGGTATGGGTACTTCCTCCACAGTGAGAAGTCACTCCATCATACTAAAACATTCTTCAAAAAACCAAGTAAGTGTCACTTAGTGGAGAAACATGTGCACATGCAAGAAGGCAACAGAGATAAAACATTTTTCAGAAGAGAAAAATGAAGAAAACCCCAAACCCAACCAACCAAACACAGTGACTGCCCTCAAATCCAACCACAAACACACACTGACATCCCCAAACCCACACATCAACCCCCCAAACCCAACAAAACACACACTGACCCCTCACAAACCCAACCCAAACACGCACACAGACTCCCCCCAACATAAATACACACACATACCTCTGACTGCCCCCAAAATCCAGCCAAACACAAACACACTGACCCCCCAAACACACCAACACTCCCAAACCTATATCCCCAAATGCAACCAAACACACCAACCTCCCCAAACCCAAACACCCCAAACAAAAACACACCAACCTCCCCAAACCCACACATCAACACCCCAAACAAAAACACACCAACACCCCCAAACCCAACCAAACACACTGGCCCACCAAACACATATCAACCCCTCCAACACAAACACACCAACACCCCCAGAAACATCCATACACACTGACCCCCCAACCTCACCAAACACACACTGACCCCCCAAACACAGCCAGCCACACACACCTGAGCCCCCCAAACCCAACCACACGCACACCAATCCCCACAAAACAAACACATCCACACACCATCCTCCCCAAAACCCAAACACACATCCCCAGCCCCACAATCCCAGCCAAACACACACCTGACCCTGGGCTCTCCCCACCCCAAACCCTGCAGGTCCCACAGAGGCTCCTGTTCCAGCAGGACACGGAGCTCACCTGGCCCTGCTCTTCCCAACACCTCTCTGCCCCCACTCCCCCACCTCAGGGAGGAAGGACTGGAGTGCTGGCTAGCTCAGGGCTGATTTGGGCTACTCTGCATTATTGAAATATTTGTGCAAAGGTTTTACCTTGAGAATGTCTCACAACAGAGTTCTTGGTGACAAAGAAACCCAAATTGGAAAATTTTACTGGTTCCAAGTGCAGTAGTGTTACAGAAATGTGTGTGTTGGACTGATGAAAGGAGAAGGATGGACAGAGCTAAGAAACAGCCTGTGCCTTTCAGCAAGGCTGCTCTGTGCTCCTTTCTGTGATGACCAGTGCAATGACCAGAAAAAGGAAATAAAGAAGTTTTTATTTTGCTTTTATCCAGATCAGAATTTCTTATTAGAGCTGAACAGATTATTTGGGATACCTTGGGATAGCAGGTGAAAGGTACAGAGAAAGTTCCAGCATTGCTGCAGATGTGTTCCTCTCTTTCCTTACACACTCTGCTGTCATAATTTCAGTTTTAAAAATAAACTGTAATTGCGTAGTTAGTTCCATTACTTTGTTTTTTGTGAAAGAAACCTTATTTCAGGATCTGGTTTCAGCTCCTCTGTTTGTGGCTGCGTTATCCAGAACTCAATTCCCGTAAGGTATTGACGTGCTGGATTTCCAAGTCTCAGTCATGCCAGATTTACTTTCCTTCACGTCAAACAGCGTGAAGGTTCAGGTTGGTAATTCTGCAGTGCTGAGAGGACAGGGGAATCAGGGACCAGTTTGTCAAGCTTCACTTGGAGAATATACCCAGACTACAGTGGGCCAGCCCAGCAGGCCAAAGAGCAAGAGGGTTTTTCCCCCTCAAACTGGTGGAAACTGTACTACAAAGGAGCAGTGTTTTGGCAGCTGTGATCCCATGCTCAAGAATTTTTGGACCTTGCCAATTCTGTAGCAAAATAAAACATCTTCAGGGAGGCCCAAGGACCCATCATCTTCATCACACAGGGGTGTGTGTCCAGGCAAGCACATACTCACCTACATACCTGGAACCCAAGTCTGTACAAGACAGCCTAGGTCAGAACCTCTCAGAGGTATTACAAGACACTGAAAGAAATTCTGAGGATTAAATACTCCTATGCATACCCAAATATGTCCTCTGTGGTGTTACCCACATGTGCTGCCTTACAGCTCACACACAGTGAGCAGAGGAAGCATCTTCAAAAAGAAAGTTATGGTTAGTATTTTCCTTTGGTTTCCTTATTCTCCAAACAGGCTACTTTCAGCACACATTAAAAGGCATAGGATAAATAGGGCAATGTAATTTGGTAGCAGAAAAAAAACCACCTTATTGCATATATGATCTCATGAGGTAGCTATTTCAGTATGCAAAATAAATCTAATAATCATGTTATGTAGCTGAATAATCAGCTAAAATGTTAAACTTTAAGTCAAGATAAACTTTTTAGGTGTTAATGAGAACAGGTATCTGCAGTGACAGCAAAGCAAAAACCCTCAAACCCCTATAAAATAGACCCTAACAGAAAAATTAATAAAAAATAATAAAGTGCAAATGTTTCTCCAGCCAACATGTACAACTCATTGAAACAACACTTTAAGTTAAAAATGCTAGTAAAATTCAAGGAAGAGATGGGTATTCATACAATAACAAGCTCATCTGGAATTACAGTGCCAGTACAAAATCATTCTACTGCACACCTCTCTTCTTGTAAACCAAATTCAAGCCAAAGTTTTACACTAGAAGTTATATTCTCTGAAGAAGTCCCTCATACAAATGCTGCTGGTAAATCAAAACCTTCTCCAATTCCTGGTTTTGCCAACTGTCACAATATTTGACTAATAAAAACACATGCTTGCTTTCTATAAAGCACTTAGTAACAGGGGAAAGAATTGTTGTATTATAGATTATATTTCATCCATACTATTTTACACAGAAGTACATAATTTTTGGGGATGTTTGTGATTGGTTTCACTGACTCTTATTTTTTTTTTCAAAGTTGTCTTGGCTTCACTAGCAACTTACTATTCATGAGCCATCATATTAATCTAGGAATTGTTTCTTCTGATCATGAAGGATAATTTTTTATGATAAGTTAACATATATTTAATGCTTAGAATTTTCTCAGTAATTTACCTAACCCTACTACTGTAATTTATTTATCTACTGCTGCCCTGAGGCACTTGAAAGGCTAAATAAACATAAATAAGTACTTTGAAAACTTTCCCCATGAACTATTGCAGAGGAGTTCCAATCAATTTCCACGTTGTCCAAGTGCCATTCCCACTGACTTCCCTCTCCCATGGATCCAGGGCTTTGTACCTTAGTTGAGGATGAGCTGTTTCCTTGCTTGGCATGATGACGTTGGCACTGTCGTCCGAGGGAGATGCCTTTGACATTTTGGGAGAGGAAAGAGTGTCTAAGTGACAACTTCAGACCTAAGCAGAGGCAATAAGCTGCGGGCAAGTTGCCCAACTTGAGCATGACGCACTTCATGATGGCTCTAAGAGGCTGAGTCTTCCTTGAGAAAAGACAAAGGACAGCAGTTGCTGGTAATGCTGCTTCATTAGCTTTCCTTGGAGGATGCTTAGAGTGAATATTGCTAATACCATTGTCATTGATAGTTCACTGAAGGAGAAGCATTTGTACAGAGCATCCAGCACCAACAGTGAGATCATGCATCAAATCAGACCTAATTACTGTCTGCAGTTTTGGAACGAAGAGCTGCATGACTCAGATGAGGAGAGAATTCCTCTCTTGCTACTTAGCTTTCTCACAGGGAAGCACAGGGAAAGGGGGAATAAAACATATTAGGTTAATTCTGTAGAGAAATTCTTTTGCCATAAGCATTTAGCTCAGCAAAGAGAAATACAGAGAAACAGGATTTGTAGTTCACATACCTAAAGCATATGTTCAGTAGTCAAGACAAGTCAAATACCAGCCCTCTCTGTGCACACAGGGAAGCTTAGAGAAGTTTAGGCTGGCAGGACCTCTGCAGGTCCTTTCCCACCACCCCCACCTGAGCACTCAGATCAGAGCATTTGAACTCACACAGGGATGCCAAAGGCTTTATCAAGCTTAGTTTTGAAATTCTGCCCCATTCCATCCTTGAATCTATTCAAACCTTACTAGACACACTCCTGGACCAACTGTTCTGGTTGGCCCTGCTTGGATCAGGGAGATTAGAGTATGAGACTTCCAGAGGTGCTTTATGACCTCAACCTCTTTTGGAGCCCAGGGTGTTTCTGGACACCCTGTTAGCCCACTAAGGGGGGCCTGCTCCCCTTGAGTTAGACCTGCAGCACAAATACTTCTGTTCTATATGACTGATGAAGACTATCTGAAATTAGTCTTAGGAGCCACAGGATGTACGATATAAAAATTAATCTTTGACAGGCAATGCTAATAAAGGAAAAAGATGAGAAGCAGGTAAGTTTACACCTTCTGCAACTTAAACTTACCACAAAACTCAGCATAAGGAAACAACTTTAGTAACAGTAGTTGGATTTCATGGCATTTTAAAGACAAAAACATTTGAGTAGAGAGGCAGAAAAGTAACAAGCCTCAATTTGCTATGAACAGGCATTATCTTCTCACCATTAAAAGGAAAGAATATTGCCATAAACTTAACTTTTACGTTATTTTCAAGGCTCTGTACATTTGCTTATGACACTGCATAGAGAATGAAGGTGAGGGACCAGTCCAGTCAATCCTTGCTCTGTAATATGATAAATCAAAAGTAAAGAAGACAAAATACGCTGGATGGAGGGAAACAAGGACTAAAGTGATGAGATGACATAAGGCAACTCCTGTGTTAGCATTAGGCAAAAGCAAAAGGCAAACAGGGGAAAAACCTTGCTAACATACTCAGAATTAAGTAGTTAGTTCCAACTGAAAGAGAAGATAAGTGAAATGGAAAACAGTCTTCCAGTCTACTGAGGGACCTGTGTTTAATATCAACCAAAGTAGTTTATATGTACCAAGAAGTCTCCAGATGGAAGCTGTGCTTCCTCTGCCAAGACAATTCTCCAGGGCACCATTGGATGAGGTCTTCCCAAATAAATAGATGTGAAGTTCTGCAAGGGGGAGCAAAAAATAATTAAAAAATTGAATTCTCCTAATACTATCTTTGTAAGTTAACAATCTTTTTTAACTCCCTCTCTTTTCTTACTTTTTCTGGCACAACAAATACAAGACAACACATTCATCCATCTCACCAAAGAGAGAGGGGAAAAAAAAGTGCATTTCATATCAGATGCTTTGCGTCAAGACTGCTAAGGCTCATAAATCAGCTGTCTCTTGCCCTGGTCATTTCAACCAACGTCTGACCCTTTTGTTAACTCATGATTTATAACTGAAAGTTACTTTTTTTTAAATGCCAGATTTATAAACTTTACTGTGCTTGGTTTGATATAATATCCATTTTGTACACCAAGCTATAAGACAGTAAATTTATTGTCTATGAACTGTTACCTTGAAAAATTACATCAATGCAAAGTGGTTTCCATTTAGAATCAATGGGCAATAAATTCATTGGATTTTTTTTGAAGGGGGGAGAGAACATGATGATATTTATGAGGTCATGAGTGGCTATATAATGGGTGAAACTGGGAGCTGAGGCTACAGTTAGACAGGAGTTCTGAGTTACAGGGTTAGACACAACAAAACGTCCAACACAGCAACGATGCATAAGCTGATACTTTGCTGTCTCATTATCGTCAGCTTCTCCTGTCCTCTCTTGTCTCTGCCCATCATCAATGCCAGTGAGATGTCTTATCAACACTCAGGTAAGTCTTTTGATTTTAATGGTTATCACACAGGGGCTGGAGGAGTAAAACCAGAAAAGCAGCAGGTGTGCTTTCCAAGGGGCCTCTATCTGTGCTGCTCAGCTGCAGGAAAAGCAGGAATGCCTTCAGGACACCAGCAGCACAAGGAACCTATCAGTGGGTGCTGCTCTTGTACAATGGGGAGCTTGGGTGCTATAAACAGTTACTCCTGCTGCTCTGAGATCCAGGAAACAGAAGTATACATTGGGAGAAAAAGGTATCTGAGCCTTACAGCACTGAATGCAAGCTGGTATTCAGTGTCTGAGCATTATAGGCATTGGGTGACTTAAAGAAACTTGGCTGTACAGTTTCTCCTGTTTCCACCCTTTGAAATGAGCTATTTTGTGTTTAGAAAGGGGGAAACCTATTGCAAACATCAACAACAGGCAAATCTCTCTTATACTCATAGGTACTGAGAATGCTGTTTGTTGCCACTAATTCAGATTCCATTCAGCCCAGGGAAAGAATAAATCTTTGCTTGAGAAAACAATGCTCAAAGTTTGAAATGGCTCAGCAAAAATGCACAGCAGAATCTGGAAGGTTACTGTCATCAGACCTGACTGGTATTGGAAGACTTTCTGAAATGAGTTCTGAAAGAACAGGCAAACCAACCCAGAAGTTATTGCATAAAGTTGACTACTAAAAAGTGGCTGCTCTTACCTGCTTTGCAACAGCTGTTGTGCTGGTTTATAGGTATCAGCAGTCCCCAGTCCGCTTTGAAAATGTTGGGCTCACCAAGCCAGCATCTTCTCAAGCCTTCCACAATGTAATTTGCATTTACAGGTACCCCTGACTCAATATGAGTAATATCTGTCACATCATAGCTGGCTCTAATCATTATTGCATTAGCTTCAAGACACTGTGCTTCTTAGATCTTCTTTGCTAACATAAAAAGTCTCTAGGAGTAGAGAAGACAGAAGATGAACTCTCTTAAAGAGGGTTAAGTTTGGGCTTGTTTATTTTGTTGTTGTTTTATTTTTAACTCAAAGCACATTTACCTGCTAGCACTGCTCTGCTTTAAAGAATAATCCATGGCCAGAGATACAGATTTGTCTCCACATAGCACTGGAAATTTTTTGTATTCTTATTCTGAGTCCTATAATGAAATCCCCACTGTCCTTAGCAAGTGTCCTCTTATGCAGTGAATAAACTAATAACATGCATGTCCAAGCTCTTCAAGTTCCTGATCTTTGTGCAAGCTTGGGAAATGCTGAGAGATTATTTTCAGTTTATTTTGTTACATCTCCATGTGAGGAGCTACACAATCACACCCATCCCTGCAGGTCAGAGCAACTGAAACTCCATAGAGTCACCTCCAATTACAAAATTGTATTCATCTACACAAATAGTGTTTGATAATGACACCCTCTGGTTGCCCACAATTTTGGATGTCTGCTATATATATATTAGCAAAGATGAAATTTACTGCTCAGATTACACAAACCCAAGTTACCTGGAATATAGCACTGCTAAGGGCTTCTGTTGGCAACCTGCCTTGGGGCACAGGCTAGCCACAGAATTCTAGATTCTCTATGCACAGATAAATTAATTCTACCAGCTACCAGCAAGCTGTTGTGTTGGGAAAAGTTGTAGCATCTGTACTGGAACACACATTAAATGAGAGATGACTGAAATGCACCAAGAAGCACAGCTGCCAAAATAAGTTTTAAGTTTTCCTACCTTTATTCCTGCACTTCCACACCTTCTATTTGATTTAGTAATTGCAAAACTGAGCAGGTTAGTAGGTCTTGAACAGGAAATTTTGTCTTTATTCACAGGAATGCTGCAGCATAGGAACTAGTTGATAAAGCAATGAACTAAAATAAAATTTTAAAAATTACATTCCAGTCTGGGCTGTATACTGGAAGAATGAGGTTGAGTACCTCAAGTGACAGAAAGGGCTGCTGTTGGTCAAAACCTTTTCTAACAAAACATCTGCCAGAGAAATGAGAATCTGAGATTAACATCAGGAAGGTACCTTTTCTCAAAGCTTTGCAATGAAAGGAATACAAACCCAACTATCCTACTACTACTATATACTACTATAATTAAATAAGGATGGATGGTTGGTCCTTCCACAAAAATATTCAACAGGTGGGGCCAATAGACCTGAGCAGAAATCACCTGAGACAGACTGAAACAGGGATGCAGACTCACCCTATGCCTGTTTCTGTCATCTTCCATTGGCAGCTGATGATGATTCGAGGTTAAACCTGGAGAGGTTGGGCAGCCTCAGAAGCACCTCCCTGCTCCAGTTCCTGCCAGAGCTCCTGGGCACACTGGCTGAGGACAACAAAGCAGGTGAGGATTTACCACAGCAGTGGGAGAGTGCCCATGGTTTGCACCTCCAGCTTCCACAGATATCATACTCCAGCTCCCAGGTATTTGCTAAAATACAGTGTTATGGTATGAGCAACAAACAGCTTTGTTTCAGGGACTTTGGGGAAACCTGCTGAGCAGCCATGCCTGCAGCTCAACACCACCTCATTAAGTCTCCAGATGAGCGCTGCAAAACTTCCAGATAGCAAAATCAGAGTAAGAAGAAGATTGGCCTAAGAGGAACTGGCAGACAGAACAAAATAGCAGTCTTACAAAACATCAGTACTTGCAGAAAGTGCAGAATCAATAGCAATGGATGGTTTGGGAAGCAATAGATGTTACCCTTGTACATTCCAGCCCAAAACCTCTGTCAGCTATAGCATTATGGCATGTGAGAATTACTTGCCTAGTTCAGGATTTCTAAATGGTAAAACATTTCACTGTGTCTTCCCTCTAACAGGTCTTACCCCCAGCAACTACAACCCAGAGGAAAATATCAAAGAGGTAAGTAAATGACCATCTGTCACTGAAACAAGAAAAATAAGACTTTAAACTACACAGAATTGTTACCAAAATATCATTTCAGATCCAGAGACTTCATGAACAGTATAGACTAAAGTAGCATGCCAGTGTTCTTGAAGCTGGAATCACTTAGCAGTAAGATAGGCAGGGGAGGGGGGAAGAAATGGAAAGGGAAAAAACAAAGAGAGAGCAAGTAATCCAGACCATTTAATTCTAAACCCTCCATTTTTTTTTTCCTCCCTAGAATAACAGCTAAGTAAAGGCCAATTTTGAGCTTCATCAGCCCAGACACCAGCATTTCCACCACCACAGCCCCAGCACAGGCTACATGGTACTATCAGATTTATTATGAACCATTTTGAGACAGGGATGAGTTTTAGTGCAACATGTAAAGCAGAGATCTCACTGGGCAGTCCCTTCCTTCCCCCAGTCAGGACACAGGGCTGGGTGATCAGGACGGGTGGGGGCAGTGGAGAGTGTACTTTCCCTCTGGGAAGCACCCACCAGTAACCTCTAATGCTGTTTGATTTCAGACTTTCTATGGGAATCATCCTCGAATTGCTTTACTGGGACGCTTCTTGACCAAGGACAGGAAACAGTACAAGAAACGTGGGAATCTTTCTGAGTGCTTCTGGAAATATTGTGTGTAAACAGGAAACTCCCTGAGTGGCTGCATAATTTATACAGATGTCTGAAAACGTGTATATAGATTCGCTTGATTTAAAACAAGAATGAAGAAATACGAAGGCAGCGCCTAACTTTAGACTCTATGCTACTTGGAAATGAATAAATTCTTGATGTTTTGCAATTATGTTGTGATCAATGTAGTAATTTCTTAGAGCTAAGCACAACAGGAAGGAAGTAATGGGAGGAAGAGACAAATACACATCACAAAGAGAACTTGGGCAGGGGAAGCAAAATTCCCATGGGGTTCTGTGAAAACTCCCAGAAGAGCTCGGTCAAAGTCCAGAGGCAAAGGGACTTTTTCCTTTGTCACCTGATATAGATTGGAGTGTCAGGAAGAGGGGTCACTGCTGCATTCCCTGAAGATGCTGAGCAGGTAGGGGATGACAGTTTAACAATGTTCAGGCCCCTCCTGCATCCCCAAGGCACCCCAAAAACAATCAGCACTTATCAGGATCAAGCATCTGCTCCCACCACTGCTGGAGATGACTCTTTCTCTCAGTCACTTGCAAAAAGATCCACAAGTCTATTTCTCTGCCCAGCCCCCAGCTACCCATGACAGGGCTGCCTGTGCATACCATGTGTTTTAAGAATTCTGTCTGATTTTCATCAAGCACAGTGTGGAAGACTTTACACCCAGATTTGGGCAGTCAGTGGAGGCAGGAATGGCACCATGAGAAAGATTCTGTGGCTGTGACCTGCAGCTTATGTGCCTGCACACACAGGTGCAGGAAGGTGATACAGGACACAGTAAATCTGTGTTACCAGGGCAAGCCACCTCCTGCTTGGACACTCAAGGGCAGTGAGATGTATTCCCCTGAGCTACCACCCACTGATAATGTTGCTGATAGCTTGGCATGTAATGCACATAAAGGAGAGGACAAAACAGAGGCTACAAAAAGCTTCTAGCCTGACTTCTGTGTGCAGACTACCTCCAGACTCTCTCAGTCCTGGGTACCTTCTGACAATAACTGCAAGAAATTGAGCTGAACAGTCAGGAATTGTGTCTGGGAGATGCCATTTTTGATAATATGCACAAACTGTCTGAGCTGTGAACCCCTGCTCCATACATACTCTGTATAAACCTCACTCCAATCACAGCTCATAGAAAGCTTGAAGTAAACACCTGACAGTGATACACAGGCTACATTGATCTCAATAGCACACATCATAAATCTCTGACTGTGCTGTTTAAACAAAGCCTACAGGTTTAAAACAGCTTGTTCACTTCGTGTAAATTATAAAACAGATGATGCCAGCTGTAACAGAGAAAAACATCCTCAAAAAGCAGTGGGATGCACTGTGCAGCTATTTGAAAACTTCTGAACATTCATCTTTCTCTTACACAGTAGAGCAAGTCAGTGGCTCTCTGGAAATGACTCCTTTTCTGCTACCTCATCAGCCAATAAAAACTTGTCAGAAAAGAATTCAAATTTACCTAAATTAACAACCAGCTAAGACAGACATATAGATAGGGAGAAGTGTAGAGCCTAAAAAGACTGGGGGGAAACATTTTCAAGAACTGCAAGCATAAAGCTAAATAAATCAATCTAGAGTGAATGATAATAGAAAAAATATTGCAAGTATTAAAAAGTTCACTAGCCTGACAGAGGAAAGAAATGAAGAGCTGTCAGGTGTTGAGGATGGGGTCAAGACAAGGTAATTGCGCTATAAATAGTGAAACCTTAGCTTTTAAAACTACAAAATACTCCCTAACATTTCTGGGGTCTAAAGAAGCAATACCAAATCAATTTATTATTCTAGCTAGGCCAGCTCACAGCAGCAAGGGCTGAGGGGGAATTTGATCAGAGCCTGAAATTTTGTCAGTCACAGTCCTTGCCTCTAGAAAGGAAGGAGTTCAGACTGTTGTGGAAAAGGAAGGAGGTCAGACTGGCTTTGGACATCACTGATAGTTCTCAAAGAGACAACAGTTTGAGACACTGTTGAGCACCCAAGTGCTTCCTTCCTGAAGGACATTCCTGACAGATGCCAGATAAACTCAGGTCCAGGGCCCAGGAGCAGAGCCTGGCCAGTTCATGACACAGGAGGGCAAACTCCACTTCTCCCCCATCCTGCTGTGACCTACAGCTCCTGCCAGCTTTCAGTTCAGAGCTTTTCCTTGCTCCTGCAGGCCACAAACAGGGCTGGAACTGTCACAGAGAACTAACCAGGCTGTAGAAGGAGTCTGGAAACCAGGCAGGTTTGCTTTTCCATGGGAAGGAGTGGCTGGGGAGTCAGGCAGCAGCATCCTGAGCCCATGGGCACTGCTAGCAGAGGGCACAGTGGAGCTGCAGCTGGGAGCCGAGCAGGCAGGCCCTGGGCAGAGCTGCAGTGTGTGATGGATATCCTGACAGGGATCATGCAGCTGTGAAGCAAATCTACTACAGAAAATACAGGCCACTACTTCTGAGAATGAGATGATGAAGCATCACAGGTCCAGTGTCTCATGTGTAACTGTAGGTTTTCAGCTGTGAGCCACAACTTGAGCTGGCAGGATGACTGCTATTGACAAATCAGAAATGTGAATAGGCTGATAAAGCCTAGATCTCTGAAGAAAAACACAGATCTACCCTGAACATTTTTCATTTCACAAGCCTATTCATCTATTCTCATTTTTTGGGGATAGATAACTTGACTCACATTTTTAAGAATGTTTAAAATGACCAACAAACCCTTAAAAAAATCAATAAACCCTCAGCAATGATATATCCAATGTTATTTTCAAGATGCCTGTATTTCAAGGCACTGTATCACCTACCTTTATCAGGAGCAGTTCAGTTATGTACTTGTCTAAGATTACTTCTTTCTTTTCCAATTTCAGTATGATGTTACTTTTATTCTGTACCTTGTACTCCCTGCAGTGATTTTGCCTTTCTCCTGCAGGCTTCTTTAAGCACTCAATCATAGCTCTGTTAAGTCCCTTAAAGGAGAAAAAGATGAACAAATTGTTGCTCTGCAATTAGTTAAGAGCTTCCTTACTCTATGAGACATGCTCATTAATTAAACCTATGGATTTTTTTCTCTGTACTTCCTCTAGAATAAATTTTTTTTAGAAAAGTCAATACAGACAGAAGCTTTAAGTCCTGCATGCCAAATCCCAGCAGTTTAGAAATACAGATGTAGTATTTCACACACTCAAAGTGCTTGCTCTTGTGGGATACAGTTAGAAAAGAAAATATATCCTGGAGTTGGCAAGGTGGAGTGTGACTGAAAAAACAAAACAACCACAAAATCCCTCAACAAAACAGCATAAATGGCCACCACATGGCTATTTTCACTGTACCCCAACACATATACAATCAAAAAAAGGTATTGAGTGTTCTGTTAAAAGTCTATTTTCTACACATTTTCTACAAGAACAAAATAAACACACATTTGAACAGCTCGTTGCAGCATATATTTCAGTTTTATTTATAAAATCAGATGCTCCTTTAAAGTGTACAGTTAAAATCACAACTGTAAATTCAACCACAGCTGAATATTGTTTCAATAAAATACTCCTACCAACTGATGTAAAAATTCATTCAATTGTGATTGAAAACTCGATTCAGTTGGAAGATAAACTTACCAATACATTACTCATTCAGCAAGTATTTACCACACTGTAAAAATACATGAGGGTCCCTTCTGTTCATAGCAATGCCATGAAAATATCTGCACAACAACTCATCTTTTTAAAAACATAATTCTACATTTATGAATACAACAACAACAACAAAAAAAAATTGCCAGCGAAATCCTCCGAGGGTTTCCAAACTGCTGACACCCCCACAGGGGGTAGTAACTGCATCAGTGCTGTACCAGCATGTTTTCCCTCTGACCACTAAATAAGTGATTTTTCAAGCAGCTCTAAACTATCTGCAACATTTTGCCAGGCAAAACAAAGCCACAGAAACGAAAAGAGCCAGGTGCAAAATCTGGCTGCAACACTCACTCCATTGGCCTTTCTGAACAGAACTGCATCTTGCTGTGATCACTCCAGCACACTACAAGGACTGAAAGATTAGTAAAAGCTGAAGTAAAAACTGCCAGTTCCTGAAAACTTATGGAAATGAGGTCAAAGGCTTGATAAGGCATCTCATTGCAAGATGAAGTTGTGGTTCTAGCAGGGTAAAGAGTACCTTGGGAAAGTTTGGGGGTTTTTTTATCCTAAGGGGATAAAAACTGCTGATTTTGCAGCCAAGACCGTTTGATTTTGGGTAAAATAACTGTCTCATCATCACACAGGGCACTGATTCATCTGCTCATTCCTCTCACATTATTCTCCCACACCACAATATTTTCCATAACCCAGGACGTGCATAGCCCCAGAAAAGGGATCTCACACCTAAGATTTATTCAGGATTACAAACTTGGAATTCAAACTCCTAGGCACATGAATTTTCATTATATATGGCCAGAGGGTCTATGGTATTCACAGCAATTCAAAAACTGTCTGGGCTTTCTGTTGCTCAGTGATTCTACTGGGCACAAATTCACAGCAGTAGAGGCTACAGAAGGGTTAACACCTCCAAACAAAAAACACAGGTAACATGATCAGGTTTCTACATACAGAATCTTGATCACTTGCAGCAAAGACAGCACAGGATACAGCAAGCGAAGACTCCCAAATTTTACTCCTGAATTTGGAATGAACTGTGGGTATGGCCCTTTGTGTCTCTGCCTCTTTTTCTACAGCTGGGATAATAACGGTCATCTTTTTGACATGTTCACGGACCTATGGATCAAAAGCATTATTCAAGTGTTAGGTACACATTGCCATTCTCCTGAACTAAGTCTCACTGTTTTACAAGAGAGATGACATGGCTGCCTGCTAATTCATTGCAAATCAGCTCATTTTCATACTTGGGAAATTAACACTTTCAAACTCAGGAAATAAAAATAATGGACACAAAAGTCTACTGTTACCATAACTCTCCTTCTGGCTTAGGGTTCCAAACTATTTTGAAGGAGACAGCTTTCCTTACCTGAAATATTCAATTTAATCTACTTCACTAAGTCTCAAAATGCATTAAAGCAATCATTTTAATTTAAGCACAGCTAAGTAGAATGGATTCTAGTACATAAGTCTAATTTGACAGCTAAGTTAATTAAGAAGTTCTCCAATCAAGAAATAACTCTTACACAAAGTATCTGATTACATGTTTTAGAGCAAATATTTTAGGCAGTGTGGTTATAAAGCAGAATACCATGTTTGGAAAATGCTGTAAGAAGGCTAGGAAAGGTGTAAGATACTGCCCACATCTTCCAACTTGAATACATAACCTGCTACATGTAAACACCTACTGAAGTCTCTTATTTTAAGAGGTGTTTGAAGTTTGAACACAAGCAGCACTGAGGATATGTGGATCTCTGCTGATTTACAACACAAGAAAAAAACAAGTTCAAGCTGAAAAAACTGAAAGACAAAGAAATGTAGCTTTAGAACAAATAGAAACCAATAGGTATAAACAGAGCAGGCAAAAATACTGAAAAAAACCCCCCAAACCCATAAAAAGAATGCTGCCTGAGGGAAAATAGCCTTGAAAACTCAAAATTCTGTAAAAATAACTTTCCTTAAAATAAACTTTAACAAGAAAGATTGTCCCTTGACTGACTTTTACAAGTAACCTTGAAGCTTACCAGTAACTGAAACTAGAGCAACAAAAATATTTCACACAGCAACAAAAGGATTACACAGAACAAAAGGGTATATAACATACTACATCCTAAAACTCTTTGCTGAGAAAGCTAAGGTGATTAATAACACCACGAGGAAAATTTGATTACATCCAAGCTTTTGATAAACAGAGAGGAAATCAGACAAAATTTGCCAGGTTTTTAGCCAAGCATGTCTTGTTTGAAGAGCACTTTGAGACATTAATGAGAACAAGTCTTTTTACATACTGAAAGTGATTACCACGTTCTGAGCTACAAATTCCTTTTTCACCCATGGATTTCAACAGCCAGAGACTCCATTACAATGAAAGAGGTTGTATCTTATGCAGGAAGTCAACAGTGCTAAGAAATAATGAATATGTGGTTTGATGTTCAAGTTTAGCTCCACAACATGTGAGTTTTGAAAGCAGAAGAAATGAAGTTAATTCTTTTTGGTTTTGGCATCACCACAACAAAAACAAATCAGAGAAACTGCTTAAATAATTTCCTATTTTTTATGTCTGGTTTCAACTCCTCTAACCACTCAATAAAGAAAACATTAAGATACAAACCCACCTTCCCAAGCACTACCAACATAAGATAAAGGATTGCATGTAAATACTTTAATTGATAATTACTTGCCTCAATAGAGAAAATTTTCCATGAGTCTGTTTTTAAAAAGCAGAGCCTTTTTAACTGGTTGAGTACTTTTGGGTTGGTTGGGTTTTTTTTAATTGCTGTGTATTTGCGAACCAGTTATCCTCAATTAGTTTATATATCTGTCTTGATAAAAACAGCTTTAAAATCAAAAGCTGTAAAACAACTCAACTCCAAAACCCACATCACAAAAAACATTGGGAAAAATATGCTCCTTTTCACTTCAGTTTACTTCTTTTTGATGGGCACAAGCTGGCAAAAGGCATTTGACGCAGAATAACCTGGCCAGTTTCAGCTGCTCTTTAAAAAGCCTATTGCATTCTCAAACCAGCTACATTATACTCTGAAATACAGCAATTTCAGAGCCTCAGAATATTTGGATCTTTAGTTTAGACCTTTAAATATTGAACAAAAATGAAGAGTATTGTAGCTTGGCTTCAGTTTGTCCATCATACTTGGAGAGTAAATATGGTCTGAACAGTAGATTCATCACCACAGGTTCTTAAACACTGCATCTTTTCACACTTAATTGCCAATTTCAAAAGAACAAACAGCCAAACTAAAAAAATCCTTGCATTTTGCTCATTTTTGAGCAGTCAAAGGTTACAAACATAACCCATTCTGTGTCAAGTCTATGAGGTCAGAAAGCGAAACAGCCTCCCACTGAAAGATTGTCTTCAGAGTCATGCCAGGAGTGGAGGGGTAATAGAGGAAGATTGAGTTTCATGTGTGACTGCTCATGTTGGTAAGAGATGGCCATGGAGATTCACTGCTGGTATGGAGCAAAGCCAGAGGGAAGGAGGGTGGGAATTACACCAAGCAGTTGCACTGACACAGGTGCTGATGTCCTCAGCGTGGCAGGACTGGAGGTGGCTCTCCCTTGTTTTCCATGTTGTCATCAGCCACTGCAGCCTCACAACTTGCTTCCCTGCTGTCACACGTAACACAGCCCTTTGAAAAGAAGCAAGAAATACTAGGTTAAATTCTTTTTATGAGTATATTTCAAAGGGTCAAATCCCATGGAATGATACATTGTACAGTTCTATCTTTGAGATAAAAAGGCATGTGACTGTCTTGAATTTGAAGACCTTATCATTCAGCTTTATAAGCAAGCTCCTTGTTGAAGATATGGACTGCAGCCTCAACAGCAACAACACTGACCAACAAAAACAGCTGAAATGCCTGAGTATATTGATACAAAGTCTCCCAAACAGTAATTCTTGCTACTGTCAGAAGTCTGGTTGTATTTACAAAATCACAATCTGCACTGGAAACACGAGTTTCTGCTTAGGAACAGCTTCAGGACCTTAGATAGAAAATAGCAATATTAGATAGAAAATAGCAATATTTACATACCAATACATTTTCTAACATTTGAGATTATAAACATTCAACAGAATTTTCAAGAAGATCACTAGACATAATTTTGCTATCTGAATCAAACACAGTGTTTTTAACCACAACAGGACACATGCTATCAAAGAGGTCTTAGGAAAACAAAGACTAGTTTTCTGGTCTTGTTTTATAGCCAAGGACATCCGTCTTAGGTTTTCTTCTCCAAGAATAAATACCACATCTCAGAATGCTGCATTTGATAACCCCAGCCCAACATGCAGTGCTAAAACAGACGAGATTTTTCTGGTGCATGAGTACATGAACACAGCCTTAAAATTTTCTATACAACTCAACACTGGAGCTGTAGGGTCTCTGTGGGACTAGATCTGTCTTGCCATTCTCCATAGCACCTGGGAGCACTTTAAACTGATTAGGACATTCTCTAACACACATCAATACAAACCAGAAGCAGTTTAGCAGAGTGCCCAAGAGTTATACCCACTAAAATAATGAAGTATTAAGACGGAATGAATGAATACACCTACAAAAAACTGGCTATTTTTGTGTTTCTTAAAATACACCTGACCCTCCTCTGTGAATGAGCATTTTTCAGCTTCCTTGATCTAATTTTTACTGATATCCCAGCACTATATGCTATTCAATTATAGCAACAATTTTATAAGAAAAAGAGCAAATTACTTAATACAAGAGGAAAAAACAAAATTTAGATGCCTTACATGAAATTATGACACCCATAACCCAGCTCTGTAAGATAGCCCTGGCAGGGATGAGCTGCAGCTCCTCTCCCACTGCTCACCTGGGTGCTGATTTGCAGGGGGACAGTCTGGGTCCGGATCCATGAGTGCACCTCTGCAAGCTCCTTCTTCTGCCCGTCTGTAAACCAAGGCTGCTGCTTTTTCATGACTGCCAGCTTCTCCAGATCCTGCTTTAGAACTTCCTCTTTGATTCTGCAGGGAAGAGATACCTGTGAGCACACTGTACTACACAAGCAAGGCAGGCACTGACACTGAGAGTCTCTTCACCACAATCTATGGCTGAAGCCCAGACAGCATCAGCTGTTGAAAGGGAACTGTACTTTGTACCTTATTTGCTTTGTAAGGCTGCTTTCAACACTGGGCTAACAGTCTGAGGTTTATTTGCTGTTGGTTTTGTTGGGAGTTTTTGGTTGTTTGGTGTGGGGTTTTTTTGTTTTATGGCTTTATGTGGTGCTTTTTTCATGTGGAATATAATTGCAAATTATATGTGTATAAGCTAATTACAAGCAACTTGCAAATAACCTGAAGTTTAACCCCTTTATGCAAAGCACAGGAAAATAACCAACCCCCTTAATATTTCAGCAAAAAGGTTACATGTTACCTTCTTTTAACAGACAGGGGGAATGGGAAAAAAGTAGGCAAAAGTAAGTAAATAACCAGGCCTAAACTGCACAAAGATAATCTAAGACACCTTCTTGAAGTTTCATTGGTATGTGTGCTGTTTCCACAGTCTCACTTTAATCCTGTAGTTCCATGAACAATTCCAAACTACATGTCAGAAATTGTTGATGTTTTCCAACCTGTTTGGCATTTGGTAATTCATTAGAACTCTCTCAGATGTGTGATCCATCATCACCCAGGCTGACTCATGTTTCGATTTATAAGCTGTCCCTTTTTCTTCTGCTTCCTGATTCTTCTCTTCTTTGGAAGCTTCAGAAGAGTAATTACTGGCAAAATACTTGCTGCTTTTCCCACTACCTGCTGAGAATGACCATAAAAAAAAAAAAAAAAAAAAAAAAAAAAAAAGGCAGATGCCTGGAAAATCCCAGTAATTCAGCACAAAAAGTACACCATCCCCAGTGTATTCTTGCAAGTTAGTTCTGTAACACAAATACAGGTATTCCCAATGATTGCTCTAGCAATTACTGCCTATTGAGAATTCAGAGATAAAGTGCATTCTCTCAAATTATTCAAGATCTCCAAAACTGCATTCACTTTTCTCAAAATTAATTGGCTCAGCTTCTCTGCTTCTGAGAGATCCTGCTCTAGGCAGATTTACCTTTAGTCAATAAAGATGTAAAACAGTATCTAGCAGAGAGAAATGATGATGAGGAAAATGAAGAGTGACTTCCAGGTTAAAGGAATGGCTTCTCAGACTCACATTTCCAACCACAGTGATTGAAATAAACTTGGCTTCAAACACTGAAAGCCAATGAAGAGTAAATGATCTTACATGGATGTTACATGGATTTCCCATCCCCACTACAGTATCCTGCTATTAATTATATGTTAGCAAGCATCTAGTACCAAATACCTAAATCTTGGGACTTCCCTACCTGTGCCATGACCAGAAGTCTCGTTGAAGCTAGAGACTAAAGAACCAGATAAAGCTGATCCACTGCCTGATGCTGCTGAACCTGAACCCAACTGTGACTCCTTGTACAACGAGTGGTCAGGAAATTCAAGAGCAGCACTGTTAGCACTATCTTCTGGATCATTATCCTGGAGACAAAAAGCAGATCCAACACATCCACAGAAGTTACATTTAAGTATGCAAAAGGAAATTCATGCAGTTACTGAATTTGTCACACGTTGACCAAGTTCTCATATCAATTCAACAGGTTTGGAGTTTTTAGCTCTGAAAATGAGTGGTGGTTTAGAACTCAGGATAACACTCTTCATGGGTGAAAATCAACAAGCATCTGAACTCTAGTTTACTGGTTTCTGCTGTAGGTACTTCCCCAATTTGTCAGGATATTGTATGGTTGCATAAAGTTAACAATTTCTGCTGACAAGAGAGGAGTCAGTTCCCTTCACATCCTGTTAGATGGCGTGAAGCAGCCATACACAAAAAGCAAAGGTGCACTACAGGGAAAATGAGTCTTCCCCTGATTCGCTATGCGAAGCGACTGCTTCAGCAGCTCCAGGTACACCAGCTCCCCTTTCAGGACCCTACCCTGCAGTTTCAGCTGATCCAGCCTTTCCAGCCCAATCTGGATTCAGGAGGCAACATTTTTTTCCTTGCCTGCAGAGCTCAGATTCCTGCCTCTGAGTTTACCGCGGAAGTTGGAGAGGCCTTTTCTATGCCCATGTATGGAAACCGACCCACACGGATCCCTGTTCTTCTTTCATTAGCTGCATCCCTGGGAGACAGAGGGAGTAATTAGAAGAATATCTTCCCTTTGTTTTGGTTCTCCATAGACTGTGGGACTGGGTGAAAAAGGATGCAAATTGCGCAGCACTAACCAAGTTCCACATGCATAAAAGCCCCAAACCCCAAATTCTAGCTGACAGTTCCATTGAAAAGGCTGCTGCCAGAATGCTGAGCAGAAGCGCCTTGTGGCAGCCTAGACCAGAAGATCTCATATTTCTGTCATTTACTAAGTGCCCACACTGTACTGGTACAAGTTCCCATAAGCACAAGTATAAACTGCTTTCTCCACCTCCTGTGCTATTTGTGACCTGCAGCCTACATAGCACAGCCAACAGAAAAAGCAGCTAACAAAATCTGTGTCCCTGATACACAGATCATCACCACCGGTTTTAGTGACAGAACACTGTGAAAGTCAGTTCCTCCTCTACATAAAAATCTTCGTTACTTACGCATTTATCTTCTGCATGTGGCTTAACATCAGCACTAATGGAAAGCTCCATAGGTTTTGGCAGCTCTTCTTGAAGCAAATTCAGCTGAAGTGGGGAGCTGCTCCGTGAGCTGCTCAGCAGTAGGGCCTGGTCACACTGGCCCTCTTGCTGGTCCTCCACGGATGAGTGAGGAGAGGCTGGAAAGGGCTGATCCACAGAGTGTGGTGCTACTGGTGATGGAGCACAAGGAGGGGGTGCTGGAGGTAGTGTGGTGCATGGATATGAAGAGGGTGGATAAACACACTGAGGGCTAGGGAGCAAGAGAGGTTGAGGCATCTGAGCATACATGGGGAAACCCTGAAAAAATACAGCCATAAATGAGCCTATGTTTGGGGGATAAAGGACTGGGTATGACTGTGTTCCACAGCACAGCTGTGATGAGGACATGGACTGAGGTTGTAATGAGCGAAGGGCAAGCTGCTCTCCTTCAGAAGAGGCTGGAAAAGTAGACACTGGATTCGAACAGGCAGGAAATCCCACAGGAGGATGGACATTCAGGCTGGAGGAGCTCAGATAGGATACTTCTGGTGGAGAGAACAACTGGTTCTGATTTGTTCTCTTCTCACATGGAAGACTATTTCTATTTTTACTAGAAGAGTGGCTATCTGAGCACTGTCTCTGAGGTTTCTGGCGCTTGAATTTTCCATGTTTTCCTTTTTTACAGCTAGCTGGGCTGATCTGTTTTGAAGGGGAATCGCCTGAGGAAGAAAAATAAACATATTCACTGAAATGACAGACCCAGGGAAAAAAAAAAAGAGAAAAAAAAGAGGAAAAACACCCAGATAAATGAGCGTGGCTTATTCAGAGATCTGACTTTCCTCTGGATAACTCTTCCATAAACCAGTGATGGATTTCCTGACATATCTACAATATCTTCCTTCATGTCATCAATTTTCTTATTGATCACTTTGGCTTATCCCAATCAGATCTTTTATATTCTTTCAAGGGGAGCAACAAACTATCTGGGATTTGCAGGCTTTACTGCAATTACTAACTATCTGCTTTGTGAAAAGTCTAAGATAGCAAGATCCAAGATGGAGCAGACCTTCTGTGTGGGCAATGCTGCTATCAAATCTTGGCAATCCAAAGGAATCATTCTGCAAGCAGCCACAATAAGACACTCACTAAATTACACAAAGGAGAACCAGACTTCATGGCTAGGTTAGCCTTGTAAATCATCTAACAAGTCTTTATTTCTCAAAGCTGCTGCCTACCTTGTCCACAGGAATGTCTGTTGTTACTTCTGCTTCCTTGTTGAAGGTAAGTCCTAAATGGAGAGAGCAAGACCCTCTGTCGGAACTTGTCAACATAGTTCTGCTCCTCCTTTTGAGTGTGGGCTGACAATGTCTCTTTTGTTAGCCCAACTGGCTTTAAGTCCTCAGGCAGCACTGCAAGACTCTGAGTATTCACAGGAGGCAGCTCAATTTGTTCACTTCCAACAGCAGCATCCTCCATTGTAGTCACTTCTTTGAAGAGGGAAGAAAAGAAATCACTCTTTGCTCTGCCCTTCTGGCGTCAACTACCACAAAAGCCAGTGTTACACAGTAAACAACCTCATCTGACCTACTGAGCAGAGGCAGAGGGAGAAAACACACTTTCAACTCAAATATAGTTACACTAACATCAACTGAGCAAGTTACTTTGCATGGTCTGGAAAACTTCAAATTCACTTTTCCTCAATGGCCAAAAGCACGTTGTTGTGTTTGAGGTATATGCAATGAAGTTCAAGTGGAAAAGAAACAGTGTAGTGTGTTAAAAACTATTTTACTAAAATACCCTAAAAACTTCCAAGCTCAAGTTTTTCTTCACAGCACCCTGAGAAGTACCTTAATATTTCAGAATTCAAATTCACTGAGGACATACCTTAAATGAACAAAGCTTTCTCACCGTGTACTTCAGGCTGGAAACATTGTGTAAATTTAAATATCAGTCAGTGTTTTGTGAGTGTGAACAGTACCTGATTCAGGGTGTGGGACATGCACTATAGTGCTGCTGTAGCTGCACTGGCTGGTGACAGATATGACACTTGGAGCCTTGTTGGACAGGGTCAGGTCTGCCAGAGGAGCTCCCACCATGCCTGCAGTTGTCTGGTCTTTCAGCGTCTCTTCCAGACCAGCAGATATTGGCGTGTGGGACTCAACTGCTGACAGCATAGCAGTATCTATTGGCAAATGACAAAGTTTCTACATGGAAATCCATTCCAAGCACTATGCTCCCAATTCATCAAGTCTCACTGGTTCAGAAATAACCAGTAACTATGCAGACTATTAAATAAGACAGTTTTATATACTAAAAAAAAACATTTACATGCCAGTGCAATGTCAGCACATACTAAATGTGGCGTAAAATGAGTGAGCAACAGAAGGTTCATTTAACAGCAACAAACAAGAGTTTCTTTGATGCATTCAAAGACTTAACATTTTAGCTTATGTTTAATTGGGAGAGCTAGGCAATTTAGGCAAATATTTACTAAATATTTACTGAAATACTGTTAGCAACACAACAGTTTAAAAAGTGGACAAACCTTGGAACACACAACAGTGACATATAAAAACACCCCAAATCAGTTTTTGTGGTTCTAATATGATTGTCAGTACACTGTGTTACCTTCCAATGCCCTGACTTCCTGCTGACTTTGCTGGACTTGTTTGTCATCTTCTGAAGATGACGATGATGTATTTGCAGAAGATTTACATTTCCTTTTCAATGCTGGAATACTGCAGCTCTCTAGATATCTGAAATGAAAGCATATCACAGGAAGCTCTCTCTACTTTGGGGGGGTATTTTCTCCATTTGGAAATACAAACATTTGAACAATCCAAACTGGAGATCCAGAGGTTGTTAACTAGTATTTTAAATTCACTGCAGGAAGTTCTGGACACGTATCTGCTTTCCAAGTAGTATTTTAAATAAAATCTATCACTCTTTGAGGGGGAAGAAAAAAAAAGAAAAAAGAAAAAAGATTACATTATCCACTGGGTTATAAGTTATTAACATTTTATAAGTTATATCAACTTTTTGTTTTATATGGATGTTCTCAGACTGTATAATGAGAAGACACGGACATTTTATGACCATCAAAATTCACTTAAATTCCTATTGCACCAATGACAAATGTCAACAAATAGCTGCAAACAGAATCTTAGGTCCTAAACTTTTCATTGCTGTCTAATTCAGATTGGGCAATCCATCCCAGTGCTCAGAGAAGCAGAAAACTTTACAAACAATCCCAAATTTATCTCACAACTCAATCCCCAGACAGTTTAAAGCCAATGCAAACTGCTTGGATATTTACTTTCTACCAATTAATCTTAAACTTGTATCACTAAAATGGTTTCATAGCTTATTACCTGATGATACTATCGACACAATTGATCTGCTGATAGGAAGGAACATGTGGAGTCTTCTTTGGATCATCAAAAAATGTATTGCCTGGTTCTTCTGTGCTATCCCCTCTCAGTGTCTGAAGAAAACAAGAAGCAGTGTGCCTCTTCCCTGGAAGAGAGGAAACCTTTAAAGGTTACTCTCAAGGGCATCTGAACACTACCCACACACAGATATATATATATAGATATATATATATGTGTATACACACACACAAATATATACTGGAATCCACATAATGATATAAGGATGTATGACCTATGACAGCACAGCTCTCTTTACAAACTTATTCTGCGTTTTCATCTCAATTTATATGTTTTGAGGCAAGGAAAGGAGAGGGGAAAGATGCCTGAAAAAAGCCAACCTCCCCCCACAGCACCTTAAACATCCATTTGAAAAAGCAAGCAAACACAAAGAAAATAGTGTATAAAACCCCCTGCATTTAAGCTGCAAATAAAGGTGTAATTAATATTACTCTTTTTTCAATTTATACATCACAGAATTTAACCCATTATTTAACAGTAATTCACAGCTTTGTATACCATGGATACACTGGCCAGAGTCCTATCAATATTGACAGTACAATCCCCTAGGACAACACCAGCAGTTCACTTTAATATAGAGTATCACAAACAAAAATGTTTTAATACAGATCTCTATGATATTTGAGCATCCAGGTTTTTCCATGTATTTGTGCTACAAACAAACTGCAGATAATGTGCACTAATATAACATTAAGCACTCAGTAACTAAATCCCTACTTCAGTGGGAAGTGGGGCCATATTGTCCAGCCTATGATAATTTCTAGGAGTTCACATAAAGTAACCAAGGGGAGCTTCCTCATTACTTGCTACAAGCATGTGTGCATTTTCACTAGAAAATGTTAATGTACAAAAAAGGATAAGCCTGTTAACCTAGAAAGAGACACATATGTTCCTCCATATTTTAAGGAGGAGTTAAAAAGTTATTGCATCTACTGAGGCGTGAATTTTAGGGGTGAATTGGGAGGAGGGTGGGGAACTTGTTTGTTTGGGTTTTAAAGAAAACAAACCTCTTCTCATGTCTAAGCCATGCTAAAAAAGGCCATCTAAAGTTCTTACCGTAACACCAGGTAGCCAAACTCATGGCTACAGATGTACTGGAGCTCATGTTACCTTAAGGATCATAACTACATTAACTTACCTCCCAAAACTTCTGAGTTCACAGCCTGTTCATTTGCATTCTGTGGCTTGCTCCTCGATGCAATGTACAGCTGCTGCCCCAGGTTCTTTATTCGGTTGACATCTGCACAAACTTGTTGCAATGTCATCTTGAGACACAAAAAATGCAAAGTCAGAATAAAATTACTACAGAGAGGCCATAGGAGCTGACTTGGGCTCTTGCATTCTTCAAATTGAAAGGAGTAGACTATCAGCCTAAGCCTGGTATCTATTGGTATTTGTAAACTTACTTAATCCAATTATCATGGTTAATTTAAGTAAATTAACTATGAGAAAAGCTCAAACAGCCTCAGCATTTGAATGTTTTAATACCTGTGCCAAGCCTTGTGAGTGGGAATAAGCTGATGACTTACTCAGGAGCCTCACAAGGAAACTAGGTAATTGCAATGCTTTTATTAGGGCAGCACTACTTCCACTCTCTTCTATAGCAGTCAGCAAAATTTAGAGCAGAAACCAAAAGTAAGCACACTATAATTAACCAATTTAGCTTGAACATGGTTTTATTCTTCCCACTTCAGTAAAATTCATAATGAGAAGCACACATGTACAAAGTAAAGATTTTCATTTTTACAGGTGTATTTTCACTTCTCTGCAGGGAGTGACACATTTACAGACTTACTGGCTCCTGTGTTTCCTCTGCACAGTTCCCATTGGAGTCACTTGAAGATGCTATGCTGATGTAGTGCTCATAAGAGCCACTGCTTCCAAGGCTTCCATAACCACTGGAAACATTGCTGTGAACTGGCTGTATGAGAGGGGAAAAAAAATTTAAAAATCATACTCTGAGAGACCAAAATGAAGAAAACTACATACTTTGCAACACAGAACTTCAAATAAACAGAGTCAAATGAAAAGTCAGTATTTCTCTGGGCTCTACCACTTACTTAGGAAGAATTCTCTACCATGCTTCAAACTGATTCAAGATGCAGAATTACCTTAATTACCTTTCAACATAAAGACTTGGCAAAAATGAAACAAATTATTTTTTTTTTTTTGGTAATGAGGTGGGACTGTATCCATGTAGAACTTTCCTCAAAAGAGCCCACTAATCAGACTCAAGTTTCTTTAGCCTCTCACTCAGAAGGCCAGCCTGTGTTCTGAAATTCTTTTGCCTTCTTTACCTGCAGAAGCAGTTTGTAAATTTGTCCTTGTAATTCTCTTATCTCTTTCTCCACGCTGCTCGTTTCTTTACTCCTTGGGGCAAAGACATCTTCATTCAGAGGGCTTCTGGAGAGAGCCAACAGTATTTCACTGTTCATTTTCATTTGACGAAGAAAAGATAGCTATAAACACTTAGAACATATTCTTAAGTGATTATGATTATTTTGTTCTGACTGTTCTGCTGAGTCAACACAGAGGAATATCATCTGTCCCAACAGCTGCTCTGCTGGGGTAGTGGGGCAGAGCTATGAGAGCAGGGAAACTCCAGGGAAGTCAATACACCAGCAGAGACACCAGTTAAGGCTGACAAACATCTACTCCTCTGTCTCCTTCGCTCAGAAGGCAAACTCATACCCCATAAAATCATGTATAAAAGATCTCTTTGAAAAGTCAGAAGGCCATTCCCAAAAGCCATTTCCTCTAAGAGAAACCTGGTAAGAAGGCAGTCAGTCATATTTTCAAATTTCTTGAAAATTAAGGAGAAACATCTGAAAAATTAATTTGTACGTTCAATATTAACTGCATTTTAAAAAGACGTTGCCTTGGTAAATATTTAAATGCTGTATCAAGTAAATATGCCAAAAGAAGGTCAATTAATTGGGTTCTTCTGGTGAGCCAACCATGAATTAATTTTAGGTAATTATTTGTTAAAGTGATCTAATTTTATGCTGCTTTTTAGCTTTTGCTCATCTAAAACTGGTACTTTAATTTGGGCATCAACTATGCAAAAACCTGCTAAAATAAAAAGCTGGCTTTGCCTTTTACTTCAAAGTAATTAACTTATTTTCACACGTTATAAACAAGACTAATGCTGTTCTGAAGGAATGGTCTGAAGACAAATGCTAGGCTGTTGTCACATCTGCAAAAGCAGATTATGTCTCTAGTTCAGTACTTAAGACTGTTTTGTTTAGCAGAGTAATCAATAAAAAGCATTTTATTTGATCAATTCTACAACTGACTTACGTCCGGACTTTGTGTCGGCCAATGATGAACACAACTTTCCTGCTCCAAGGATTCACAAAACTGGACCAGCTGGTGTCCAGTATGACATAATCCCCATTTTGAGTACAAAATCTAATAGGTAAGTGCTCAAAAGGGGGTTGGCCAGCAAATTTCAGTACTGAAAAACACAATCAAGAAACAAGATTTAGTTTACATTATGACACAATAGTGCAAGCACAAACACTAATAACTGGGGTTCTCAGAACTTTGGGACTGAATTTACTTTGATCTCAAACTGACTGCATGAGTTAATTAGTTAATTTTTGTCTAGACTGCTGATCAGTCACATGTCAAGCAGTATGATAAAGGTATGACAAAGCATCGTAAAACCAACAGAAATTCCTCTAAAAGCAGCTCTTACTTTTCCGGTGAATGGTGATCATCAAAGGACGATCTTCTGGGTGCAAATACATCAGTATGGATGTTCCAATTAAATCCTGAGGTAAGTAACCCAACAAAGGCACTGCTCTGAAACCCAAACACATTATCACAGGTTATAATAAAGTTTTGACTACTTCCATCCTTAACCCTTTGCTGGTCAGTGAAGTGCCCATGCACAATCTACAGTGAAATAAACTAAGGCTACAGAACATTTTCCCAACCCATCTCATAATCCTGCACTGTAATATTGACACAAATACCCATGACAAACATTTCTGTGCCTGGAGATTTAACAGATATTCACATTTGCAGGCAGTTTTGTGCTTGTTTACATGCAAAAGGAAAAAAAAAAATCGGATCTTGAAGACAATGGGTCATAGGCAAAATGTCAGCAATTATGCTTATTTTCCACTGTTGATGCTACCACAGCTCCCTATTGCCCTAAATAAGGAAAACTGACTGCAGTTCTGTTTAACATGTGTCTTAAACCAACAAAGGAGACTACATGTATGCAGTGTGAGATGTTTTCCATGAGTGGACTAACTCAAAACTGTTTTGTTTAATTACATATTGCAAATCACACAGTTCAGCTACTTTACTTGGGTCTCCAGCTGCATCACTAAATGATTTTTTCTACCTCTCCATACACACCTCACAGGTCTGAAAAACTCAAATCTCTCACCTGTCATCTATGTCCAGAAAAACACATCCAGGGGTGTGTGTGGTGGTGAATATTCTTTTATCCATAGGAATTCGAGGAGCTAATAGAAACAAAATACGCACTAAGACAGAAAACTTGGGCATTACTGTTGCTCATGATATTTACTGGTTCCTGAACTTCATAATGGTTTGCTTTCTAACCAGTAACTCACAGAAACATTACAGACTTTTAGGTACTACAGACTTCTCTCAAAAATAAAAATAACACGTAGAGGTTGAATGCTTTGGGGCCTAGCAAAGGCAGCACAGATATTCTGGATTTACATGCATGCACACACAAGCTGCAATTTACACAGGTGAGATTACACAAGCACAGGTTCTAAACAAAGGATGAAGACTTTCATACACTGCATTTTTTTTTGGCTTGGATTTTTCTCCAGTGGAGCATCCTGACTTGCCTTCATATCCAGAGTGGATTTTCTCAGCCAAAGCTAAGCAGCAGGATTCTGCATCCACACGGACAGAAGTGCACACATGGACCAAGTATGGGGTGATTCGGAAGGGGTAACAACGTGCTTCTTGTTCTTGATCTTTCCCACCCCTGAGGAAAACAAAAGGGATTAACACCCCAGTTTCAAGACTCACATACTGTGTGCCAGGGCCAAGAGCCCTGCCCAGAGAAGTTATATTGAGCACAAACCCAAATAACCATGTCCTACGCATACTCCTTTGAAATCCAAGGTCAACACACTCAGCAACACTGACCTCCCTCCTGGTTGAGATCAAGTAGATGTTTTGTCTCCAACACTTAAATTCAGAGGCTGTCTAGAAATACTCTAATGGTTAAAGACTATTTTCTAATTCTCAGTCCAACTATATTCACAAGAACCACTCATTTGGTTTTAAGCTCTCCAAGTTAAACAGATCTTTTTCTGCTTACTGTTTATTCTGTACCATTCTTAGGAAAAAAAAAAAAAAATTAAAATATCTGTCTCCCTCAAGGCTAGTTTTCACAAACCTACAGAAGAAAGACTGCTCCAGACTTGGTGCATTGTACTCTATCTTCCAAAAGAATTTGTCTTCCTAGAATGTGTTTGAACTGTAGCATCATTCTTGATGAGATCTTAACCATGGCTTTGCAACAGCTGCAGTAACAATTGGCACTTACTAAAATGCTTTTCCACCTGTTATAATTTCAATATCATACCCAGCTCTTACAGAAAGAATTGAGTTAAATTTTTGAAGATTATCATTCACACTAGAAGTTATTTTCTTATTCCACACTTGGTTTTGTAAAATGTTTCTAGAGAGAAATGACTGTCATAAAAACTACTTCTGACACTTTTGTCTTTGGGAAAACAAAAGATACAAATGGAAATTGGATACAGCAGAAGTCTAACTCGTAAAACACCATTTTCTTACTTAAGCCTAGAGCGTGTGCCTGTGAAAAAATATTTTTACTCATAAAGCCAACAAAATCAAAAGATCTGTTACGTAAGGGAAGTAGAGAGAGATGTTGTACAAAAACACGGAGAAAAACTGTTGTAAAATGTTTATGTATCCAGTTCCCCCAACCTAACATTGTTATCTGTCCAGCTATATCAATTTCAGATGCCCTTATACCATTCAAGAGACAAAGGTGGTTTAAGAGCCAAGGCTGTAGAAACACAAATGAATGAATCAATGACCAGCTGAAAGATGAGTAAGTGTTGTATCTGCTCAGAAGCAAACAGTTCTTACTGAAATCCGAGATCACCCAAGTCCAGGACAGAACTGCACTGAAGACTGAAGGGCAATCTCATTTTTTTTCCTCCTTTAGCTCTAAGATTAGTCAGGTACTAAGTAACAAACAGCATTCACAGCAGCAGCAAGTCAGGCTTCACACTGGGACCTAGGTGACCTTAGTTTGCATTAAGGCTTCTGTCCCAATCTCTCAAGCAATCTTAATCTCAAGCAAAACACTCTTTGCCTCCACTCTCAAACAGTAAAAGGGGAAGCAGCAATTTTTCACATGATCATTCTCCTGCATGACAGTACTTAAGGAAACCAATAGATCCAAGAGAAAAACATATAAACAGTTTTCCTTCTGTCCCAGGGCAAGTTTATGTGTCATTCTGGGAAGGATGTTCAGAATGTGCTACTGGATGACAATATCAAACACAGAAAGCAAATTTTGTAATGGAGTTTCATGAGCTCACACTGGTCAGCTGTGACAATAGAACACTTTCTGCTAGTACTGCACCCTTTGTCAGCCTTCACTGAAATGAAACTTTAATAATGCACTTACCTGATCCTGCAGAAAAAGGATTTCACCTGGGCATATTCATATGGAGAAGCTAATAAGATGAACACATTGAAAGTGTAAAAAAAAAACCAAACAAAAATCAACCAAACAAATAAAACAAAAGCAAAAAACAAACAAAAAACTCCAAATCAACAAACCAATCAAAGCACCAAAAATCCTTCTCCAGTCCATCACTATGAAAAGGAAAGGTGGTATTTCCTGGCTTTATAAGCCAAGTAACAAAACCTATATATAGACAAGAAAACCACAACTCCACTGGTGTGCCACTGCTCTGCTGGGTAGGCACATCACTGGCATCCAAGTTGTGGAATCCCTGGCATTCAAAACCACCAGATGTCTCATATCCTTTGATATCAAGGACTTTGGACTTCTCAGAACTGATGCCAGATCAGCCCTATGTCAAGGTAGGCAGAAGACACTGCCTTGGCCTGCAAGCTATGTTTGAACTGCTCACAAGGAACAGAGGACTCAAAAGTCTCGTTTAAACACATCCAGCACTAAATAGCAAATCAGCTTAAAACTTGGGTTTGATGAGCTGTGTTCACAGCAGGCAGTGAGTGGATCATGAAGACAAAGCACCTAAGCAACCATAAGGTGTAGATAAAACAACTTTAACCTCACAATCAGACTTTTTTTCTTTTCAAAAAAGCCCCAGTTTTCAAAGTGGAAATGAACAAATAAGGCTGATGCATATTGCTAGTGTAAGCATTTAAAATGAACTACTACTCTGTCTTCATTCTGCAAAGACAGAAAGACACACAGAGCATTCAAGAGCATTGCCATGTCCCACCTGTTTGACTTTCCATGTTCCAAAGGGGCAGGTGAGACTGATCAGTGTGTGTGTAGAACACACTCACATCCTGAGGCACAAGCAACTCCACAAACCGGGAAGAGTCCAACACTTTCTTCTTACAGTTCAGAATAGAGGCTGCCTGCTCAGAAATATGCACTATGCGTCCAGACAGCAAAGAAAATACAGCCACAAACGTGTCCTGGAAAACAAACATTAAAGGCAATCGTTGTCTGAAACATGGTAGTGGTAACACAAGGATAAAAAGCAAAACAACCCCAAAACAAACCAACCAACCCCAAACCACCACAACCTCAGGCTGAGGTTCAAAAATGTGTTGGGTAGTGCTTGATTTACTACACTCTCCAATGCTACAGCAGTGTACTCAGTATTTACAAATGCTAGTAAGACTGCATTAGTCTTCTCGAAACAGATTAATGCTTATCTTTGCTCTGAATGAGTGGTTATCACTCCATACACTCCTCCACAAATTTCAGAGGATTCATCACAATTCCACACACAAAAACATTCTCAGAGCTTTCCAATATTTTTTTTTGCATTTTTACAAGTATTAGCAATATTTTTGATACATCATCAACAGTACTGAATTTCAAGAAACACTTCTTTAAAACAGAACCAGAAAGCAGGACATACATTGCAAAACAAGAAAAAAAATTAAATGCAGAGTACAAATAGAAACCAAAAGTGCTTCACAACTATGGATCTGATTGATTTCAAAAACTTTCTGCTGTCTCAAGAGATTATTCTGCTGTAAAAGAATTCTCAAAGAACTATTTGTTGTTTCTGGCAAAAAAAAAAATATAGTATTTCTTCACTCAGTATTACTGGATACTGACACAGCACATATAAGACACAATCTTCATTGATCTTTAAAAAGGATCAGACCTTTTGAAGGTCTGTCTGGCTAAAATGTAAAGGCCTTCAATTTTACACATGCTATTTCCACAAAACAATGTTAGGAGACTAAATTTAACAAAATTGAATTAACTCCTTGAGTATGCCTGAATTCTTACAGTGTTTTTTGGAGTGTGTTCAGATGCAACTGCCACCAACTCTTCTATGCTGTATGTCACCACATCTGTCTGAAACACTCTTCGGTCATTCAGAGCCTGGAAAAAGTCATTGTTTGCTAATTGGAAAAAAAAAACAAAACAGAAAAAGCAAAACAAACACAAGGAAGTCAGTAAGGAGACTACTTCAAAAGTATTTCTTACAGCCCTTGTACTTTTGTCATCTTTTTGGTGAAGTCCAAGGTGAGATGAGAAGGTCTGTGCAGTGACAAAGGGAAAAGGAATACTGATTATACTACTGGAATAATCTCATTTTGTTACAGAAAACAAACACGAAGAAGTAGTACAATTTTAGCTACTTAGTTCTGTGGGAAAACACAAACTAACCAATAATTTTTCAAAGTGGGATGGGAATACTATTTTCTCAATATACATAAAAGTTTACTATTAGGCACCTCTTAGCTATGGGACTGAAGAAAAAGAAGCAGTGGGGGGGGGGTATCTCAACAGAAAAGATAACAAGGTTATTTAACAAAAAAACTAGCAACAAAACCATTATGTTTCAGGAAGTCAACTCCTTGCAGGATAACTGGAATGCATTCTTTTAATGCTACTTGTTGCCAGACACATCTATGCAAATCATGCTGTTGTTCTTCCAGGTTTTCTCCACACGTACCTTGGACCTGCTGGACACACTGCAAGGCGTAGTTGAGAGCACTGATGGTACTGGGTTTGTTAGAACTCCTTTTCTCTTCAGGTAAACACCTTTTCATTTCTTGGATCATCATCATCATATCTCTGTGGGACTGGCTCCAATTCAGCTGCTCTCTGTAACACAGAAGTTAAACTTTACCAGAGAATTCTGGTGTAGGAGATTTTTTTTCTTATCACCCAATTAAAATTACTCCCTACACTAACATTTTATGGGAATGGCTACAGAGTCATGCAATATCCAGGAATGTCCTAACGCTCATTCACTAAATTTCCTGTTGTATTTTTCACTTCTTTGCAATTGAAGCTTTTCTCCTCTACCTTCCTCCTTCCCACCTCCAGTGTCATGGATGGCAAAGTCCCATCGAGACCACTCTGCTTGCTAAGATGCCTAGCAACTTAACAAAATAAGATTATGTTTATTCTGTATTTTCTAAATATCACAGGTATTAAAATAATAAATAAATGCTGATTCTTGATCTTTCTAAGTTTTCCTAACCTTGAAGGCTGTACCTGTTTATAAGCATCTCAGGGAACCATGAGGTTCTCAAAATACACCTGATGCAAAGACTTCATTCCTTGTGACTTCAAAGTTTTCATCATCCTTTTCAGCTGTCGATTTCAACAGCTGCAGAACTGTTAACAGATAAAATCTCCCTCTCCCTATATTTGCTTATTTCACTAACTAGAATATAATCAGTCAATACTGTCAAATCACAGATTCTAATCCTACAGACGAGATACAGACATTTTTTCAGTAACTTTTTTTCCAGTTGACACTATCATTAGTATCGTACTCTTACTATATAAACCATTACATAAGTGTAAGTATTGCGTGGCAACTAGACATGCCTGTGCAACGCTACATACATTACAGTGCTTTAACTCTTTATTACATTAAAAAAAAAATAAAATTCTGAACTCTCGCGAAAAAGGTTATTACAATAATTTCTGCTTTGGTACTGCTTAAATTAAGTCTTTAGCTGAAGTAGACATCTAAGCTAGCCAAGGGTGGCTGACGTGCGCGGCTCAGCCGATGTCAGAATGAGGCACGGCTTACGGGAGCCGCGAGCAGCCCGGCGCACCTGCACACGCCGCGGCCCGTGACCCCCGGAGCCCCGCAGGGCCCGAGCGCCGCTCCGGGTCCCCGCTCCCCGCCCGGCCCAGCACATCCCCGCGCGCTGC